ACCATTGAGCCCAAGTAGCCACGGATCAGGAGGAGGGGGGGGGGAAGGGGGGGGGGCGGGCGGAAGGATGAAGGAAGGAGGAGCAGAGAGTGGGGGGGGGGGATGATAGGAGTGAGGAAAGGGGCGGAGGGGGTGCGGGTGAGAAGGGGGCCGCGGAAGGAAGGAGCGCGAGAGGAGGCAGGGCGAGGAGGAGGCGGGGAGGGGAGGGGGAGGGGAGGAGGAGGAAGAGGAGGAGGAGGAGGAGGAGGAGGAGGAGGAGAGGAGGAGGAGGAGGAGAGGAGGAGGAGGAGGAGGAGGAGGAGGAGGAGGAGGAGGAGGGGAGGAGGAGGAAGGAGGAGGAGGAGGAGGAGGAGGAGGAGGAGGAGGAGGAGGAGGAGGAGGAGGAGGAGGAGGAGGAGGAGGAGGAGGAGGAGGAGGAGGAGGAGGAGGAGGAGAGAGGAGGAGGAGGAGGAGGAGGAGGAGGAGGAGGAGGAGGAGGAGGAGGAGAGGGGGGGGGGCAGCTCGGCGTTTCGACGTTGAGCGAAGAGGGGGGGGGGGGGCGGGGGGAAGGTCTGGCTCTGGACCTCTGCTTGGTGTGACTGTCTGCGACAGTGCGTCTTATGAGGGGAAAAGCCACCTGTTCGAAACAAGCGCCCAAAGCAGCCACGATCTACTCCATGCGGGGGGGGGGGATGGGAAGGGTGCGAGGGCCCGCGCCGATCGTCGAAACAATGAATCAAAAACTATCACTTGGTGGAGCAATGGCACATGCACGGGCGTGGGCATGACAGCTGGTCGCGACAAACGCGGCACGGCGAGCGCGCAAAGTGTAATGTTTGTTGTCTTCTAATCGTGCAGCGCGCCATGTGGAAATCCATCGCAGCCAGCTGATTGGCTCGTGTTCGGCTGGTGGAGTCATGCTCCCTGGCTAGACTATATGCTGTGTCTGGGCCAACCCCAAGACGGATCACGCGATCGCTGGGCATAATTGCGCGAGGAACGACGAGGAGATGAACGAGGCGGGGGCAATGAAAGTAGCGTCGCATGAAACCTGGAGACCGCGCTTCGATGCCAAGACTTTCGTCCGAGTGCCCGAACCCCATAGCGTGGGGATCCCTACTTGTGCAGATGTGATCCGAGCTGCGGCGAATGCTTCAATTGAAGCCAAATGCGAGAGGGGGTAAAGGTCTGGAGAGCGTCTCCGAGCCTAGCCCACCGCCGTTCAATTTCAGGCCGCCCGATTTCGGGGCGTCCTCGGAGCCGCTTTCGGAACCTGCGGGCAATCGAATCAGGAATGGAGTCAGGGCCGCGCGAGGAGCAAGGAGAGCGGAGGGACGGGGTCCAGGCTCGCGCGCCGCGCCGTTTCCGCTCCGCCGGCCCTGTGCCCGCAACCGTCGCAGGTCCACTGGGTGTGGGTGCCCTGCAAACCGGAGTCGCCGCTGCGATGGCCATCTGGATGGCTGGCCTCGGGGCCCTGCCGCTGGCGGTCGGAAGACCCGCGGGGGCCGAAATCGGGCGGGGCTCACTGTCCCAGCGATCATGATTGCCGCGCAGACTTCATGTAGGCATGAGGAAACCAAAAGACAGATAATGCTGCCCTATCGTTCGTCGCCGTACCTAGCCTTTGAGTCGCGACGGCCATTCCTGACGCGCAGAGTCAACGGTGCGTCCGTGCTCGCGCGCAGTCGCCCGAAGCCTCTCCCTGCGCTCCCGCCGTCCCCCCGACTGTGTAGTGGCTGGCGCGCCATGCGATCGCCGTGCGCGAGACGTCGATCGGGGCGCCGACGATGGCGTCGCCCTCCGCGCCCGAGCAACTCGGCAGCGCGGGGCGAAGTAGGCGGGGGCCTGAGCAACTTATGCTTGGCAAGACTCTCCTTGTTGAGGATGCGAGGATCACGGGGGGAGAACTGGGCAACGTGCGAGAGACAAGGGAGGGCGGCCGCGCGGCAGGGTCGCGCTGAAAGCCTCAGCGGGGGCCCCAAACAAGGCCGCGCCACGACATCGAGGCCGCCATTTCCGCCCGGGGCCCCTCCGCTGTGCAGCGAGGTCCGCCTGCGGACCTATCGCGACTTCTAATTTGTTGGTCGCTCCTTCGGCCCAAATTTTTCCCCGTCCGGGCGAGTGTCGGGCGAGCGCCGCTCGAGCCTGGGCGCGCGCGCCAGTCGCGCGGCGCCCGGGAAAAGGGCGGGGCGGCGCGTCGCGCAGGCTGCAGCTGCAGCGCCGCGAGCTTCTCAGCACGTGGAAAGGTGGCGTGGACATGTCCATTGGGGCACCCTCCGCGGCTCGTGGAAATGTCCACTGGGGCGCCCCGCGCGTCGTCGGCGCGCCGCCCCCAGGGCCCCTTCCTCCTCGGGCGGAAAAGCCTCGCGCAAAACCTGGCCCGCGGATCGAAGCCCAAAGCTCGGGGGCTCCCTGATAAAAAGGCGCCCTCGTGGGGCGCCTGGCGCGACGTGGAACGTGAGCTCGAGGATCTTCTCTCGACTCGGGCGCGCCCATAGTTTCACGGGGGGGCCCTCTGAGCGTGGACATGTCGGATGCGGGAGGGGCGATCCATTCGATGGCGCGACGGAGAGGGCGCCCGGAAGTGCAACCCTTGCATCGAAGCTGAGAAACCTGGGGGGCCTCTGGCCCGCGCTAGCAAGGAGGCCGGCGCGCCGACATTCGGCGTCGAGCGCAATGGCGAGCTCGCCTAATATCCTTCCCGGCACGAGCCCGCCCAGCGCTCCGTGGGCGTCTTTGGCAACTGCGCCCGGCAGGTGGATGTTGAGGGCAGGGGCCGCAGCGTTGCAATCGGATTTCTTTGAAGCGACAGGTCCAGTGCGCGCCGGGGCCCGCGCGCAGTCGGCCAGGTCAGGGTCTGCCTCGCCGTGCGGGAGAAAGGCGGGATAACGATCGTTCGAGTGCGCGGGTGGGCGCGCGCCATCGGCCATCTGGCCGAGCGCGCCATGCTAGACTTCAATGAGACTGGGGTGGCCCGGCCAAGCTCGCGCAGGATGCCGATCTGGCCGATGCGCGAAGTCGCTGGATTTCTTAGAGGCGAGGCGAAGATCGTCTGGGGGGGTCGTGGAGACTGGGCGCGCGCTGTTCGGGACAAAAAAAAAAACCTTTCGCGTGTTCCTCAGCGCGCGGGGCGGTGAACGCGGGCTGCCGGTGCTTCCTTAGCTCTGCGATCAGCGCCTCCACGCCCCGCGCGACGGGCGTTCCCGCGCCGCTTTCTCCCATCGGCCGCGCGTGGCGTATCCCGGCTGGCGCCGGCGCCCTTCTTGTGGGATTCCACCGGGGCGCCCGCTTCATCGCGACCTCCGCGCGTCGCGTGGATGGCCGTCTGGGTCGCCTGTCGGAGAGGGCGGCTGCCCCCCCGCTCCAGCGGCGCGGCCCGCGCCCCCCGCGCCTTCTCGCGGAATCTGTCGGGGCGCAGCGGGTGAACGCAGGTGTCTGTGGAGCCGAGCTCCGCCGCGCCGATGGGCGCGCTGATGATGGGCCGCCTGGCTAGCCGAGTATCTTGGAGACAGACCGCCCTCGCCCTCGACATGAGCGTCGGCGGCGTAGCGTGCTATCCGAAGCCAGAGTCAAATATGACTTTCTTGGCTTGGGGCTCGTTGCGCGCCGTCTCCCCTGCCGGCGTCGCCATTTCCGCGGCAAATGTCCACTGCTCGTGGCTCGGCTGGCACTCGGCGCTGGCCCTCCAGATGCCGTGTCGGAATTTCTCTGTGCTCGGAGCTCTTGAACGTGAAAAGGGGTTTCGTTTTCTGTGCTGCCTTGGCGTGGGCTTCCTCGTTTGCGCGCGCAGCTTGAGAACCGCGCATTCGCGGAGCTGCCTCGCGTCGCGCCACCTGCATGCCGCGCTTTCGGGCTCTACCGCGAATGGCGGGCGCTTCGGGCGAAACGAACAACTCGTCGATGGCCCGCAGCGTCCCGATATCCCTCGTGAAGTGTGCCCGCAGAGGCGGTCTCGTCGCCGGCGCGCGCGGGTTGTCGACGCGGTGCCTCCAATGCGGCGCAGAGCGACTGGCTCGCCCAGCGCCTCAACGCTGCGCTCGTCGAGGTAGGGCGTGCATCAGATGCTCCGAGGGCGCGTTCGCCGTGTTAATGTCGCCCGCGGCGGGGGAAGTCCCGTGCAGTGGATCTCAATGGGCCGCGCTGTGCAGCCTGCTTCCATGCGTGGCGTATCCGCTGTTTCCCATCGGTTGTCGCGTCGAAATTGCGCGAATAATCGTGGCGAAGTTGTGGAGGCTCATGATCTTGACGGCGCGCTCGGTGCCGCGGTGCTCGACCGTAGATGTCCGATGTCGGATGCTGGGCAAGACGTCGAATCCAGCGGCGGCCTAGCTGTCGCGGGGCCACGGAAATCCCCGAGAGCTGACGCGGCGGCGTTGGGGCCATGCCGCATAATCAGTATAGCGACCCCCCCCCGTGCCGGGCAGATATGCGGTGGACAGATACAACTTGTGGTGGATATTGTGCCGGCTGAAATAGTTGCGGAATATTTCTTTGCATCCGTGGGCCTCCCGGAGCCGCGCCGCGCGGCGCTTCCAAGGGCGCCCTGCCGCCGAATAGATTGTCTGCCTCCTCCGTGCAAGCTCTCTTTGGGAGCGCGAGCCGTGTGCGTTTCACGTCGCCGCCGCGAATCTTGTGGCAGGTGGGTTCAGCCTGCGCGGAGCCCGCCTTCGGCTGGGAACGCGTCCAGCTTGAGGTCCACCTCGGGCCAGAGCGCCTGAAACTGTTTCGCGATCTCTTGCCAGTCGATGCCCGAGCGGGTCGCCGCTGGGGCGTCCCATGCCAGGTTGGAGGCTCGTCGGGCCCGCGCACTTGGACCTCCGCGACCAGGGCCGATTTCACAGAGACGGGGCGCTTTTGCTTGCGGCCCCGGCACTCCTGGCTATTCGCAGCAGTCTTGGCAATGCCCAGCGCGATTTACGTTTGGACTTCACGCCTGGCGCCGTGTCCGACTTTGTCCCCGCTGACGTGCAATGGAGCCCGCTGGCCTGAAATCGCTGCCCACTTCGAACGTGCACCGCGTCCTTTCAGACCGGCCCGAAGAGCACTAGCACGTGCGAGGCGTGCGGAACCGCAGGGGCGGTGCAAGTCGAACCGCTTCAGCTGGACGTCGCCGATGAGTTTGACGTTGTCGGCTGCGGCACTGGCGGCCTGGAACCATTCGGCCAGGGCTGCCTGTAATTCTCCAGGGGCAGCACGGGCCTCACAGGAGAACGCGAACAAGGAGGGGTCGATGGTCCTGTTCCACTCGGCGAGCTTGGCGCGGTCGATGGGGTCGGATACCTGTGCGCCTGGCGCTGCCAGGGTGGTCTGTCGCTCGTTGACGGCCGCCTGTGGCCCAGCTTGTTCATTCTCCAGGTCCTCGTTGCGTGCTTTGGTCCTCGCCAGCTCGGTCGCCTACTGATCCAGCCGTGCGGTATGCGGCGTGACCTTTGCGTCGAACGTGAAGCCAATTTCGGAATGTACGGAAACCATGGTGGAGGCAACGGTGTCCTCCATGTTCATCCGCATCATGGCGGAGAAATCGGACATGTGGTGTTCGGCCACATTTTTGGCCTCTGCGGTGCTGCTCGCGGCGGAGAGGACGGGTGCGTCGGCAGAATTGGTGCCGCCAGCAAAAGCCGCCGCACGCTAGGGATCTCGCACTTGCAGAACTTCCCTCTTGGCGTCAGCGGCAGCGCGGCTGCCACGAGCGCGTTCGCCATTGGGGCTTTTCTTGCTATGCAGTCGGAGCGTTGACCCAAGGAAACCCAAAATAAGGAACGAGGCACCTTTCATCCACAAAATGAACTTCGATTTCCCATCGAAAATCAAGGGAAAACCCAAGGCAAACTGTGAAACAATCAAGGAACACGGAGCCCCTCCCCAACGAAAAGGGTTCCTTCTTCAGGGCCCCGACTGTAGTCGACATCATCATCATACTCATCACTGTCCGAGTCCGCCGCAGCTCGCCTGAGCGCCGCCATGGCAGAGGCACATATGTAGTCGTGACAGCAAATGTCACCGCTGGCGCCCGGCGCGCCAGATGGCCTCTTCAAAAAGGATGCCCGCTGTCACGTGTACTGCTGCATGCTTGAGCCAACATGGCTCCGGATAGATCAGGAAGAGGTGGCGGAGGAGAAGGAGGAGGAACATGAAAAGGACGGGGGGATGGAGCAGGAGAAAGGGGGCGTGCTGAGGGGCGGAAGGCGCGAGGGGGAGGGAGGGAAACCCAGGGGAAGAGGGAGGGGGGAGACATGACGGGAGAGACATTGCTCACTCGGTGTCTTGCGACTGGTTGGTCAGATGTCGCCAGGCAGTGGCTTGCCCCATGCACATGTGAAGGATGACGAGGGGATCGACGGAGCAACCGATGGAGGGTGTGGAGGTCGAGGGGGAACATGAGAAGGATGAATCGTATGATGAATCGAATGATGATGATGATGATGCTGATGATGATGATGATGATGATGACAAAGATGATGGTACTAATGTTGTTGATGTTGGTGATGATGATGGTGGGGGAGATTATGGCGTCGATAACGCCGATGACTTCGACGACGACGATGATGACGAAGATAATGGTTGTGCTGATACCAAATGGTGATGACGACGATAATGATCGTGATGATGGTGATTATGATGATTATGATGGTGAGGGTGGGTATGGTGATGCTCTTGTTGTTATTGTTGCTGAAGATGGTAAATGCTATGACGGTGGTTATGCGGGTGGTCATGGTAGTTGGTACCAATACACAAATTATCCCGGCAAAGCAACCTAACAGCGTTGTGTAGAAGCATATCTGGAAGCATTCCCCTTAAGATTTAGGTGAGAACCCAGTTGTAGAATTCTGCTGTTCTCGCAGTCGCAGCCTCAGCCTGCCTCGGCTTGCCTCGGCCTCAGCCTGCCTCGGCCTCAGCCTCAGCATCAGCCTGCCTCAGCCTCAGCCTCAGCCTGCATCAGCCGCAGCTTGCCTCAGCCTCAGCCACAGCCTCAGCCTCAGCGTGCCTCAGCTTCAGCCTCAGCCTCAGGCTGCCTCGGCTTGCCTCGGCCTCAGCCTCAGCCTGCCTCGGCCTCAGCCTCAGCCTCAGCCAGCCTCAGCCTCAGCCTCAGCCTCAGCCTCAGCCTCAGCCTCAGCCTCAGCCTCAGCCTCAGCCTGCCTCAGCCGCAGCTTGCCTCAGCCTGGGCCGCAGCCTCAGCCTCAGCCTGCCTCGGCTTCAGCCTTAGCCTCAGCCTGCCTCGGCTTGCCTCAGCCTCAGCCTCAGCCTGCCTCGGCCTCAGCCTCAGCCTCAGCCTGCCTCAGCCTCAGCGTCAGCCTCTCAGCCTCAGCCTCAGCATCAGCCTCAGCCTCAGCCTGCCTCAACTTGCCTCAGCCTCAGCCACAGCCTCAGCCTCAGCCTCAGCCTGCCTCAGCTTCAGCCTCAGCCTCAGCCTGCCTCGGCAGCCTCAGCCTCAGCCTCAGCCTCAGCCTGCCTCAGCCTCAGCCTCAGCCTGCCTCAGCCTCAGCCTGCATCAGCCTCAGCCTCAGCCTCAGCCTGCCTCAGCCTCAGCTCAGCCTGCCTCAGCAGCTCAGCCTCAGCCTCAGCCTCAGCCTCAGCCTGCCTCAGCCTCAGCCTCAGCCTGCCTCAGCCTCAGCGTCAGCCTCTCAGCCTCAGCCTGCATCAGCCTCAGCCTCAGCCTGCCTCAGGCTCAGTCTCAGCCTGCCTCAGCCTCAGCCTGCCTCAGCCTCAGCCTCACAGTTGGCTCCGAGCAATCAAAATGTAGCCTGGGAGTGGTGTTCTGGGAACACGAAGAACACGAAGTGGCCTACAGTTGGCTCCGGGCATTCAAAATGTGGCCAGGGAATGGTGTTCTGGGAACACGAAGTGGCCTACAGTTGGCTCTGGGCTTTCAAAATGTGGCCCAGGAATGGTGTTCTGGGAACACGAAGAACACGAAGTGGCCTACAGTTGGCTCGGGGTGTTCAAAATGTGGCCCGGGAGTCGTGTTCTGGGAACACGAAGAACACGAAGTGGGCTACAGTTGGCTCGGGGCATTCAAACTCATGCCCAGGAATGGAGTTCTGGGAACTCGAAGACCACGAAGAACGTTAATGTTTGCTGAAAACGAATTCCCCGGCATCCCCCCGGATCCTGCCCGGACCCCCCTGGGGAGTCATGATGCTTTCTTTCTTGTGACCCTACTAGAAACCTATCAGTCTTCGCTGTTAGTTCAAAAAACTACGACGACGATGGCGATGATGATGAATGCCGGAAAGGAGGCGTTCACAACTCCCTGCCGCTTCTGGTGCCCTTCTCGCTGCAGAAGGGCTGGGCCAAGCGCCAAGCCTGCCCTCCATTCCCCTCGAGCTGGCTCCTTCCTCCCTTGGCTGATTGGGCTGCGCGCCTTGCGGCTCTCCTCTCTTCTCCTTGGGCTGTCACACCCCCAACAACCATGCCCTCTGGCGTCTTTCCGAGGATGTCCGAGTTCCGCATCCTCTTCCTCTTCCTCCTTCTACTCGCTCTTACTCGCTCCACATTCCTCCTCGTCGTCCTCCTCCTCCTTCTCCTCCTCCTCTTTCTCCGCTTCCTCCTCCTCCTCCTCCTCCTCCTCCTCCTCCTCCTCCTCCTCCTCCTCCTCCTCCCCCCAAGTGCGTTCAACATCAATCCCCGGACTCCTCCTGGGGTCCATCCTTGCCAAATTTTTAGCTGCGTCCAGCCGTGGCGACGAGAACATCCAAGCTCCCTCTGCGAAACTTCCGAAACGCCGACTTCGCCGTCGACGTCGTCGTCTGCCTTTCGGCCGCCCGCGAGGGTGACCCTGATCAAGAATGACCTCTGGAGCGCGCGCGCGATGCGACAGCGGCGACCCCGCGCCACCCGAGAGCCGCGCACCGGAGGTCCCTCTGACGAAGCGTCACTCTAACAGTAGGAGCTCGACCACAATAGATCTTCCACAAGAAACCCAACCCTGGCACCCAGGACGTCCATCGAGTTTTGGGTGTGGGAGCGTCGCGTGTTCCATCGCAAAACCATCGGAACCCAGGAAACCCAGGGCACCCTGGAGGCAAGGAGAGTGCTTCTTGGCATGGGCTTCCACTGTACGTGCCCGAGTCTTTGCCCCCTCTGGCATTCGGGGCCAGATCTCGGTTCCCCAGCGGCCGATCGGGACGGCTCGGGCACATCAGAAAAGCCCTCGGCGAGGCGCAGCGGCTTCCGCTGTCGAGTGCTGTTGATTTGTTCGGCTCGTTCCTTAGCCTCGATCGACCGCAGTATAGGATCCGCATATCCAGCCAGGGAATAATGTCATTGAGAACTGTGGGAGCTATCTCAAACAGGCCCAGGGCCCCGATTTCCAGAGCTCCCAGGGTCTCTCGCGCGATGCCGCGTGACTTTGAGGGCCAGTCGCGTGGCTGTCCTGAGAGGTCAGAGGGCCTCACCCTGAGATTCCAGTTTTGATTTTGTTATTGGATTTCTGGTTCGAGTATCCCAGCAACCTTGTGATTCCAGTATGAATGTCTATATTTGGGGTTCAGAGCTCAAGAGGGCTGCAGCGTGGAATTTCGTCTGAGGATGTGGGATCACAGAACTCAGCAAAAAGCCCACATGGCATACACGGTGTCTGGTTTTTCATATCAGAAGTCCCAGCAAGCCCCATGTAATCAGAAGGGTTGGCACCCCCTTCCTTCGCAAAACATGTGATTTCACAGGGATCGCTGCTCCCTCGAGTCTCCGCTTTTTTTTGGGGGGGGGGGCTCTCTCTCTCTGTATTGTGTCTCTTCGCAGGCTCGCGGCCTCTCTGCTTAATCGTGAGGGGGGGAGGCGAAAGAGGAGGAGGAGAAGGAGGAGAAGGAGGAGGAGAATCAGGGAACGAACGAGGATGAAGAGGAGGGAATAACACCGTCGACAAAAAGGAAGACGCTCAGTGGGGGCTGGGGAGCTGCCCACATATATATATATATATATATGTATATATGTATATATATATATGTAGAAGTATATGTACACGTATATGTATATGTGTATGTATATGTATATATATGTGTATGTATGAATATATGTATGTATGTATGTATGTATGTATGTATGTATGTATGTATGTATGTATGTATATTCATATATGTAGATGTGTATGTGTATGTATATGTATATGTATATGTATATGTAATATGTATTATGCAATATGTAATATGTATATATACAGGTATATGTATACGTATATGTATATGTATATGTATATATAGGTAGGTGTATGTGTATGTGTAGGTGTTTGTGTATGTGTATGTGTATGTGTATGCGTATGTGTATATGTGTATGTATGTATGTATATACATACATGTATCTATACACATATATGCAAGACCGCAGTGGCGCTTCGCGCCATGCATCTTGGTCCTTGAAGTTTGGTATGCAGGCGGAATAGCAAAAAGGTCAAGCCGACAATTTAGCGATAACTCCATGTTGCCTTTTCCAGCATCGCCGCTATAATGATGTCATTCGTTATCCTTCCGCCGCGCTTCTTTTTCCTCATTTTCGCCATACCCTGCGCATTCTCTCCATCCTCCTCACCTCTTTTTTGCGGAGGCTCCTCCTTGGAG